ATTTAGCAAAAATCGAGTATTTAGCAAATGGAAGCACAATCTCTAGGGAGGAGTGGAAATGTCCTAGAAATTCACTTTATTTCTACATTAATGTCCAGGTGCATTAGGGCCTGAGTACCTGAGGTATTGGACAGAACATTTCAGGCTAGCCTTGTAGACAAGTTGGAGAAATGTGGGTTAGATTGCAGCTGTCAAGTAAAGGTACATATATTGAACAACTACAGCAAAGAGGGTGAACTTTTACAGGATTCTGGAGGACCTGGAAAACATGATGCTAGAACTGAATATATTTAACCTGGACAAGAAAAGAAAGTTTCTTTTTTCCCCCTGGGATGAGCAGGCACGGTAACTGTTTCCAAATATTTGTAACGGAGCTATAATTGAAGAGGAATTAGACATTTCTTGTATCTCAAGTGAGCCAATTTGGGATCAGAAAGGCAGAATTTTTTTTTTCATACGAGGGCAAGGTTTCTGTCAATCACTCTAATGGACTGTCTTCTGAGGTAGCAAATGTTACTCCCTAAAGAGTTCAAGAAGAGACTGGTCACCTCTCCTGGACATTGTCTATTGGTCTCTTACATTGAGAGGGAAGTCGGACAAGATACTTTTTTCCTGGTTCTTTTTAAGTTTTAGATGCTCCGATAAGGTGGAAGAAATAAGTTAGTGGTCAGACAGCAAATGGACATCCTCCTCTCTGTTATCATGTTACCCAAATAGGGTCCATGCCCTGGAGCAGTAGAGCCAATGAAACGTACTCCAAGTCAGAAAGAGTGAGAAAGTTTTATTTTAGGAGGTGTCCACCACTGGGGATCCGACAGCAACGCAGGCTCTCTATGAAGTCCCAAAAGACATTTTTACATTAGAGGTTATATGTGATTTTTACAAAGGTTAGAAGTGTCATTATTCATTACAAGGTAATTACAAGAGACTGTTGATCATACTAAAGAGACACTCGCCAGACATTTCCATATCTGACATCTGGGCTCTAATCTTCCTGTGGGAGTCTTAAGCCACATGTGGCTGGACAGAGCAACACAAAATCATCAACAAAGGTATGTGAAAAGGAGAAGCCAAAGAAAAAAGAAAAAAAAAAAACTTATAGGTTCATCATGGCGTTGGTTACGTCAAGCTCTCAGTCGCCCATTTTGAAAAGGAGAAAACATGCTGGGGAGTATTAGGGTCACAGGAGCATGTTTTCACCCAGAAAAGTCTTAATCCAGCAATAAGGAAACCTTCTCAAGATCATGACAAACAAGAATTTCCTATGCACTTTACATCCTGGTATGAGAATGTGATGGGAAAAATGGGAGCACTCTGTTTTTCTTTATCAAAAGACAAGCATGTCCATTAAGTATTATCCAATTCAATCAGAATTGTGACCACCAAATAATAATTTTGACTATAAATACTGCATTTTCTCTCTACTCAAGAGTATACCATTGCTGTCAAGTCAATTCTGACTAATAGTGATCCTAGAGGACAGAGTAGGGTTTCCAAGGAGCAGCTGGTGGATTCGAACTACCAACCTTTTGGTTAGCAGTCGTAGCTCTTAACCACTGCACCACAAGGGCTCCTTTGCAATATAAGTAAATATTTGTTAGCATTTGTCATGGATTGAATTGTGTCCCCCCAAAATATCTGTCAACTTCACTGGGTCATGATTCCCAGTATTGTATGACTGTGTACCATTTTGTATTCTGATGTGATTTCCTTATGTGTTGTAAACTCTATCACTATGATGTAATAAGATGGATTAGCAGCAGTTATACTGATGAGGTATACAAGATTAGATAGTGTCTGAAACCAATCTCTTTTGACATATAAAAGAGAGAAGCGAGCAGAGACACACAGGAACCTCACACCACCAAGAAAGCAGTGCAAGGAGCAGAGAGTGTTCTTTGGACCTGAGGTTCCTGAGCTGAGACGCTCCCAGACCAAGGGAAGACTGATGCATCACAAGGACCTTCCTCCAGAGCTGACAGAGAGAGAGAAAGCCTTCTCCTGGAACTGATGCCCTGAATTTGGACTCCTAGCCTACTGGACTGTGAGAAAATAAAATTCTCTGTGTTAAAGCCATTCACTTATGGTATTTCTGTTACAGCAGCACTAGATGACTGAGACAGCATTCAAAGTTCTCCTTAAGTTTTCCTTTGACAGTAGTTAGATTGTTAAAGGCCTCAATTCCTAATTTAGGACATTCATAACGCTGGTGGATTTTGAACTTTTTGACCGTGTAACCTATATTCAGAAACAAGGTTTATACCATGACCCTGTGTCACATATGGCTACCATGCCTGTTCCTTTCCAGAGGAGAAAAAAAGAAACTCTTTTTCTTTTCCAGGCTAAATATCTCCAGTTCTAGCATTATAACTGAAACCAAATATTTGAGAAACAACACTTATACAATGCTTACAAAGTTGTGTAATGCTTTGATATTTTCAATTCATTCCAGATCAATTCATTAAAAATTAAATACTGCACATATGCCTCACTAATTTCACAGGACTTACAGGTTGAAGAACACTGCTCTAGGCAAGAGTTAGTCACTGAAATTCAAATAGTGGTGGAATCAATGAGATCATCCAGGTTTTGTAATTTAGGACATTTGCTAAACTTACTACAGAAAGATAATTTTTGGATATAGGTTACATGAAAAATCCTGGGGTTTGCCATACAGTTACATACTACTCTTAATTCCTTTCTTGTCTTTTCAGCCTCCTCTCCCCTGCTCCCGCAGAAAACCACACACCCTGGCAGCTGCCTCTTAAAACACGAAAGACTTCTCGAAAGCTATCTATATCAACTGCATTCATTCTGCGTCTCTTAAAGCTTTCCATCTAAAGAAGCAGGTTCTAGCCTAAAGCCTGTTTGTTTATGAGCACATTCAGGTGACTGCTGAGATAATGGAATTGCTGAGATATTGCTCCTAGCTGCTTGGGTAACCATTCTTTTATTATCAGGAAGGCAAATGCAGTTTTTAAGATCAAAGTAGACACCTCCTGGAAGCTACATTTATTACAAAAGGCTAAAGTGTCCACTTTCTCAGGACTCAAAGGGACTTAAAACAGAAAGACAGTGGTATTCAACAGACCAATGCAACTGTGACAGGATAGCAACCAGCTAAGTAAGTGACAGCTAATTTAATTCTGAAAGTTACCGACTCTTCCAGCTCTGGGGTTAAGCACGGGGCCTGATACTGTGATGGCCGCAGTCAGGGCCTTTCTGACGAAAAATTCCTACTGTCAGCACTGGGACAGAGAACGTTTTTATAATTTCCACCATTAGAGATTCCTTTGGTAGCATGTTGATCCCGTGGCAGTAGAAACCAGGAGTTGTACTCTGGTATCACAGAGGAAGTAAAGTGAAAGGCCTTTATAATCCAATCACCATTACAGTATTTGGAAATTTATCACCGCTGAACTCTAGCCCTTAAAACATGGCCATCTTGGATAGCAGCAGCCAGTCTGGGGCTGTTCCACTACCATCTGTCAGCTGTCACATAATAACTGTTGCGCTCTGTTTAGCTCCTTTGCCAAGATTTTTAGATGGTTATCTTTAGGGAAGTC